TTCATTCATTCATTCATTCATTCATTCATTCATTCATTCATTCATTCATTCATTCTTTAAGAGTAATGGCAAAAAGGTGCTTTGGACATTCACATAGCACTATTGGCTAACCCACATATGTCTTTTCCCAGGGCTATGCAACTGTAGAGGGCAGACATACAAAAGATACAGTGGTTTAAGAAGTTGCTGCCAAGTGTTACATGACTCCCACACATTTGGAAGCATTTTTCTCTTCTGAGTTGTTCAAACACTGCTTCACTGATGGGGGGAGAGGGAATTGCAAAATTATTATGGCTCAAATTGGTGGCTTGCCATCTGTTCCTCTCCAACAGCCTTTAGGACCCTTCTGATTGTTGTAAATAACTCTTAAAGCACCTCCAGTTGGCTTTTTGCTTTTGTACTGAAAATGCATATAACAGCTTTCCCCAACTTGAGTCTTTCTGGATGAACAGGAACTGCAACTCCTAGAAGTTCAGGCAGCATGGCCAAAGGTGGGAAGTCTGGCAGTTCTTACATATAACATAAGGAAGGATGCTAAAACTGAAATGCTTGGTGTAGTGTCACTGCAGAAGAAGTGTTGAGCTGCTACAGTGGGGTGGGGCACTTTTTCTCTGCCCGCATATGATAAATCCCCTACTCCCATGTTCACTTAAAGACTCACAGATTGTGGTCTCATCACTTTGGAGAAGGAAGGATAAGTAACAATGTCTTAATTAAGATATTTCTGTCAGTCAACTGTCTGAGTTATAATCAAGTCACTGATAACATGTGCCATCAAAGCAGATGCTGTACTATTCATATCTCTTATATTCTGAACATGTATTAAAAAGTTGGCAAAGGACATTGAGCCTAGGGGTAGATCTGAAAACCTAGGAAGGTGTTGCACAGCAGACAGCTGGCTCCATGGGTTCCTAACAAGCTAAGCAATGCAGTCTGGTATATATATATTTTCTTCAATAATTCTAATAATCTATATGCAATAAGATCTCTGATGTTCACCCTGGTGTGCACCTGTTGTCTTCAAATCCTGAAACCTATCGGCTAAAGGCTTTCCACTAGTCTCAAAACACTTGGGGAGCAGAAGAAAAGAATGAAGCAAGCACATATTTATTCAGGTGAGATGCAGTAGCTGAAAAATGTGGCTTCTGAGCCTTCAGTCCTCTTTCATTCATATACAGTGTGTGTGTATATATACATGCCCACACATACACACATACATATACATATATATACAACCATATAGTTAACTTCGTTCAGCAATCCAAGGACATGGAAAGTCAAATGGCTTGGAAAACAAAGGTGGAACTGCAAAGAGTGTTCACTCCCACAAAAGTTTCTTGTGTAAAGTGATGCTGACATAATCATTGCTGCTTTGAGATACATAGTATATAAATTGATTACTAAAAGTTGAGGTCAAAAGGCAGAAAATCCCACCAGTTTGTCTTCCTAGGAATCAAACCTAGTAATAAGTAAAGACTAATTTGCTGCCTTTTCAGGACATCCAAAATAATTTAGCTCTTTCTACCTAAGGAGAGCTGACCTCATCTAGGAGAACTGTATGACTGGACTTTCCAGACCCAGATATAGCAACAAGGCAAATAATTCTAACAGAATGGTAATATTTGGGGGGAGGGAGGGGCACACAGTTCCCAAATCCTTTTTTGCTGACTCCAGAGACTCCCTGCATTAGGAAAAACAGATCAAGAGTTTTTCAACATAATTTAACAT